GTGTACCCCGCAGGCCCGGGGGTGTTTCCGTGATCACGAGGCAATAGGCAAGACGGGAAGCTCAACTCTAAGGAAAACTTCCCATTCCTAAAGTTGGCCCTGCCACCCGAGAGTGAGCAGCTGTCCTTCCTCCCCGGGACAGGACGAAGCAAGCCGTCCAGGGCCCAGGCCCAGATAGTGGCTGCTTTAGTGAGCACAGAAATTTTTGCCAAAATGCGAAGTGAACAAATCACCTGGCATTCTGATTCAACAAGGGAAGCTTCCGTTCAGAAGAAGTAGGCTTTCATGTTCTCGGCAGGTCAAAATGCCTTTGTGGAAACATCTCAGCAGTTCAGCTGTCCAGGTCCAGCATTTTCTCAGCCAGGACTGGGGACAGGGCCCCCTCTTCTCGCCCGTGACATCCTCGGTTGTAAGCTGAGCCCAGCGGGGCCTGGGGGACCCGCAGAGGTGAGCCAGTTTGGCTGGGGCCTGGAATACACAGCAAGATCCTGTCTTCACTGCAGAGCAACAGTGAAGAGAAGCAGCGATGCCCAGGCTGCCTCCTTCCTGTCAGAGTGGGTGACAGCAAAGGCCTGCTTACTTTGGTGCCTGTGCCTTTTAACTGGGCCAACCCCATTCTGGAGCCAGAGAGCTGTAAAATGAATGCAGCAGGATGTGACATCTTGGTTGTTGAAAGTCTAAGTCTGGCTGCTCGTGGTGATGCACACCTGTAATCCCAGCACTTGGGAGGCTGAGGCAGGAGGATCGCTGTGAGTTCGAGACCAACCTGGGCTATACAGTGAGTTCCAGGTCAGTCTCAACTACATAGTGAGACTCGGTCTCCAAACAAACAAACAAACAAACAAAAACTATTTGTTGAACTTCACATATGTGCCAGGCATTGTAGTGAGTGTTTGGACACAGCTGCTGACGAGGTAGCCATGTCTACCTCCTGCCAGAGTGGACAGGCTAGGAGGGGAGGCAGGCATTTAATAAACACCCAGACCAATAACTTTACATTAAGGGAACCATGTGTTACTAATTGCCTGGATACCCTGCTCAAAAGTCTGTGATCAGATCACACTTGCGGGGTTGGCTTCTAGGGGCTCCATTCTGCCCCACACACCCAGGCTCTCTTGTCACTCTTTCCTCTGCTGCAGGACATGTTGAAAGCAGGGCCTCTGTTCCTCACCTTTTTTGCAAAATTGCTTTGATTATTCTAGTTCTTTTATTTTACCATTTTTGGGTACTAAGATTGAACTCAGGACCTTGCACTTGTCAGGCAGTCCCGGTGCTACTAAGCTACATTCCCGGCCCAATTTTACCTTATTTTGTAAAGGGAGGATCTCATTATGTAGCCCAGGTTACCCTTAAACTCACTGCGATCCTCCTGCCTCAGCCTCCTGAGTGCTGGGATTCCAGGTGTGCGCCACCACGCCTGGCTGCTTCCTTTGTTCCCTTACATGCATTTTAGACTCAGCTTTCAGGAGCACCACATACATCTGGTGGTCTGCAGGCAGAGTCCATGGAGCTAACACCTTTTCATAAACATCCTCCATCTTTGCAGATTCAAATGTCAAATTGGCAACAGGCAAAGAAATGGATGAGCTCGACGTTTACCTCTCTCAGCTTCGTGACGGACCCCCTGGGGCTCTTTTACAAACGATTCGTCATGGTGTTGGGTGCCATTCAGAACCACTCAGAACTGCCCTAAAACATCCTTTGTGTGCTTTGCTTCCTTCTCCCTTTCCTAATAACAAATGGAGAGGTGAAGGGGAGGTGCTGCTCCGGCCTCTGGAAAGGGATCTTGGAGAAAGCCCCTGGGCCCCAGGCCGGTGTGGCATCGCCCCGCAGCTTGATGGGCTCCCCCACCCAGCCTGAGCCTGCTCTGACGGCCATGGGCAGTTCCAGGGCTCTGCTGCCCCCTCTAGCAAACTGTGGGTCACACCTGGCTGATTGAGACAGTGGCCCCATCTGCCCTCTGGGGTGCGCCTTCTAGCCCAGCTGCAAAGCCCTAAATGTGCTCGCAGTGGCTCTGCCGAGCTCTGCCCCACTCCCTGCTGGCCGTGCCAGGGTGGGCAGCCGAAGCCAGGTCTGGGAGCCGGTGCCCATCGCTGAGACCCGGATTCTGCTGGACAGGGATAGAGCCCAGGCTCCGGCCACACCTTGTCACCAGGGAGGGCGGAAGGGGATCCTAGTGGTGCGCCCCTGGAGAGAATCAAACCCAGCGGCTTCTGCCGCCGGAACCCCTCTCCCTCCTGGGAAAGGCTCCGCACAGCCTGGGCCTCCGGGCTGCATGGGGTCTGTCCCACCTTCTCCAGAGATGCTGTGTGCCACTGTGCCCCACCACCACCACTGAGGGCACATGGCGGAGGGTTCCCCCAGCTGACTCGGATGGAGCCACGCCACTTGCGGGAACCAAGGATCCCTTCTCTTTACTGTCCCAGCCTTCCCGACCTGCACAAGTGAACACAAATCTCTTCTCCCAAGGATAAAATGCGGCCATTCTGTGAGCGCAGAAGGTGCTCTTACAGCCTGTAATTCCACATTCAGTGGGGAGAGGTAATAAGACTCATGCTCCTCTCCATGGGTTTCAATGTGGCTTTTCTGTAGCCCTTATGTAACCACTGGTATTTCTGGTGATGTTATTAAGAGTGAACAGCCGCGGCTTCTCACGGTGACACGAACTCCAAGGTGGAAAGGGCCTCGGCAGACAGGGCAGTCAGTGGGAGAGGGCCATGGGGACACTGCAGATGCCCAGGGCACATCCGGGAGAACTTGGGGAGCGAGGGTGGTGGTGCCCCCTGTGGCCCGAAAAAGGACTCTTGAGTGCATATTTCAGACCTTCTGCTGTGTGTCCTCTTCTCTTTCCTAGCTGGCTGGGATAGAGATCAATGCTTTTTTCACAGAATATTATTTTAAATGGCAAGGATCATTTCAAAAGAGCGCATCTGTGTCTAGTGCCCGCACAGCTGTTCCTAAGACTCTTAATTATTCACGAGGAGCACAACATGAATTGCTGTGGGGTTTGGGGACAAGAACCCTGCGTCCATCTGCTCAGGATGCGCACTGCACAAATCCGGGGCAGCGTCACTCACACAGACTTCAGTGTGTGCCCCCTGCATAGCTATAGACGGATGGCTCTGCTGGACATAGCGAAGAGCAAGAGGAGGCCACCAGGCTGTCGCCAATACAGTGACATAAAGGAGCCCCATGCTTCTGCCCGATGCCAATGTGAAGGCTCTGGTATTTAGGCAGTGGGGCTGGGAGCCTTTGACCAGGTTTTAGGGCCTGAACAAAGTCCTGCCATTGTCCTGGGGGCAAAAGGGCAAAGCCTGCTGAGAAATGAGAATCTGGGGGCTCAGGGAGACCGGGGCGTTTTGAATCTGAGGCAGGTTACAGCCTGCAGACAGTGTGTGGCCAAGTTCAAGCTGATGATGGTCACAAGCGAGTGAGAGATGAGATTTTAGTTTTTGGCTTAAATCACTGTATACCCGCCCAGCCCTTCCGCGTGCCGGCAGGGGTCAACACATCCCTTATCCCGTTCAGTCCTTGGTGGGCTCTTGAAGGAAGGGGCTCTGGTGAGCCCCATCTTAGAGATGAGAAAAATGATTCCCAGAGAGGTCAGTAACTGGCCCGAGGTCACACAGCATGCACACAGAGGGGCAGGGACCTGAACCCAGTGTCTCGGCCCCAGGTGCTTGTTTCTAGCCAGATCTGTCTGTCCCCGAGTTCAAGTTTTACTGACTAGCAGCAGGAGAGGAGAATGTTGGCGCCCGATCCAGCCACTGTTCAATCCTCTCACCCTTGTCTCTTCTCTACCTACTGTGCTTCTAGGGGACTCAGTGTCCCCTAGTAAAATGCTGTGGAGCTTCATGTGCAAATGGCCTGGGGCCAGGGCCTGGGGGTGGGCCTGCATTCTGACAGCTTCCAGGGCTGCCACTGTGGTGAGAACCAGCCTTCGGCTGTGGGAGCTGGGAGCTGGAAGTTGAGAGCCGGAAAGGAACAGGTGCTCAGGGAAGGAAGGAGAAGCTGGGGTGCCCTGCCTAAAGCTGAAGGGAAATGAGCTCTGTCACTTCCTGGAAATGGACCACACTCTGGGCCACACCAGGCCGGATGGCGGTTTGGATCCCAGAGTGCAAACTCCAGCTGCCCTGACCTGGTCTGAGCAAGTTTCCAGCCTCGGGAACATGGAGGTTCAGGCTATGACCGGAGCTCGTTCGTTTCCAGCTCAGACCCTTCAGGAATCTGTGATCCCCTCCCCACCGCTCCAGCCTCCTCAGCGTCCCTAGAGCCTTGGCGGGCAGAAGGCATTCAGGAAAGGATGCAGGCAACTGGCCCATTCTGCAAACCCGGGAGCCGGTCCCAGACCAGGGTGTGGGGGGGTGGTTTTCCACCCTCACAGGGCAGGTCGGGGGCCACACCCCAGAACCCAGAGCTCACAGTGCCCTCTGCCCTGCACAGGGCAGAGGCTGCACCCAGTGTCCGCTGGCCCTGCTGCCATGCGTGAGCAGACTTGTATACCCGGGGTGGAGTCAGCAGAGCCTTCCTTGAGGAACTGGCTGGGATGGGCAGGAAGTCGTCCCCAGCCGGCTGAATTCTCAGGGAGGGAAATGACAAGGTCGTGTAATTCTTGGCAGGGGCGTTCTGCACAGTCTCTCTCAATCTCTGTCTCTCTCAGCACAGTGTAGCCAGGGCACCCAAACGGGGTCCTCCACGCGCATCTAAGGTGGAGGCGGTCGCGAAGCGGGCCCAGGCTGTGAGTCCTACACACGTGCTCTTGCACCCGCACGGCACACGCAGGGTGGCACACAGGTGCCCGTGCACACACGCGCAGGCCTGTCCGTTTGTACCCACCACCACCTCCGGTGGAAGGCACCAGGCACGGCAGTGTGCCCCGAACACCCACGTGGGACTCTGGAAAGGAAACCAGCAGCCCCGCGAGGTGAGGCTGTTCCTTCGAAACAAGCCCAGCCTCTCGGCAGGGGACACCCCGGCGCCTCATCCGCTGTGTCATTGGTACAGGGCTGCACACGGAGCGGCGGGAACGCAGAACTCCGGAGACACCTACAAGCCTCACCACCTTTGAGACGAGGCTGCTTTGGTTAAATGAAGAGCCAGAGAGGCAGGGGACACAGAGCATTTCAGGTGCTGGTCCGTGGGAGGCACCATAGTCCGAGGGACAAGAAGACTGTGACCTGCCCCAACTGCCATTTCCCGGGAGCTCACCAGGCCCCTCCTGCAGCAGATTTGATGGGGGGGTGCTTTTCAGAGAGGGTCTCACTACATCTCCACTCCTTTTTCATGTTTTCATTTTGAGACCAGGACTCGCTAAATTGCTAAATGGCCCAAGTTGGGCTCACACTTGAGATTCTCCTGTCTCAGCCTCCCAGCAAGCTGGCACCACCACGTCTGGCTCACGGTACCCTTTGTGAAGACCTGAGTGAGAAATTTCCCTAGGCCTTTGAATCCGGAGGGATTGGCCCTTTCCTACAGAATTGGCTTGTTTTTATTATGTCCGTGCTCCTAGCTTCATTATGCAGTTTAGAATCTAATTTCATCTTAGGGTCCCCAAGTTTTCTCCAGCTTCTTCACTGAAGTTTTCAAACTCTGTGCCAAGTTTAGTTCTGTGAGCCTCCAAGAATCTTATGAATATGAAGAGGGCCATAAAACAGATGAAAATTCATGGGAAGCCAAGGGTATTAAACTGGAAGAAACTTCAGGGAAAACACGGCCTGGCTCCTTCAGTGAGGGGGAACTAGCTTCATTATGCAGTTTAGAATCTAATTTCATCTTAGGGTCCCCAAGTTTTCCTTCCTCCTCCTCCAGCTTCTTCACTGGAGTTTTCAAACTCTGTGCCAAGTTTAGTTCTGTGAGCCTCCAAGAATCTTATGAATATGAAGAGGGCCATAAAACAGATGAAAATTCATGGGAAGCCAAGGGTATTAAACTGGAAGAAACTTCAGGGAAAACACGGCCTGGCTCCTTCAGTGAGGGGGACGCAGCAGACTCAGCGGTGAGAAGTGCGCCCCAAGTTTTCTCGGAGGACGGGGGGTCGGGGTGTGGTTCGTGGGGAGGGATTCTCCCAGCTGTCCGCGCAGTCCCCTGCGAGCGGCTCTCTCCTGGTCCCGCGCGCATCTCCTTTTGATCAAGGTGGCGGCGGCCTTACAGTCAGTGGTCTTCTCGGTGGTTCGCTGAACACCAGCGTCCTCTACGGGCCCCAAGCCAGGGTGCTCGCCACCGCTCACTCACGAATGCGCTTTGCAGTTCTGTGGACGCAGCCTGCTGGGGAGCAAGGGACTCGGCGAGCCAGGGCCACCCCGGGTTCAGCTCGGGTGACCGCAGCTGATCCCCTGGATTAGGCAGGCCGGGTGCCCTGCGAGGGTGGGGGAACCTTCAGGCAGGGTGTCTTCCCCAGGAGGACGGGCTCGGGCTGTCTCTGCTGCGGTTGTGGGAGGAGAACTGGAGCTTCAGCCGAAGGGTCACCCTGGAGACCGAGACCAGAGTCACAGGGGCAGGACACAGGCGGGCAGGAGTCAGGGCAGCCGGACGTGGTACATGGGACGGGGCGGAGACCGCGGCTTAAACTCTGTGTTTCTAAATCTGGCTTTTCTACTTATACAATTAATGAAATAGGAAGAAAACCGAGGCCAAAATGTATATGAAGACCTCTTCAGTAATGGTGGCAAATTTGTGTGTGTGTGCAGTTTTGCCTGCTTATTTAGTTTTATTAGCGTATGTCGGGTGCATAACATGCACATTCCTGGTGTGGAGCTGGAGAGTGTGACAGCCCGTCCTCACTCCTTTTCTCATCCCTAACCCTTCCCGCCCTCCCCCTTCCATCTCTTGATGACTTGCTCACTTGGCAAAGACCTGCATCCCTACTTCCTACGACCTCCGTTTTATTTTGCTCTTTACTTATGCTTTGAGTGTCTCATAGAAGTGCAATAATGTGATAGTTAAGCTTGCGCGTCTGATTTATTTCTTAATAAGACCTTATGGCCTCAAGGTGCATCCATTCTTGTACACATGAGTCAAGTTTATCCTTCACAGCAGAGTAGTGCTCCGTGGTGAGTAAACACCACACTTTTTTATGCATTCATCTGCTGAGGGGCCCAGAGGCTGCCCCCAAGACAGCTGTCATGAGCTGTGCTGCTGCAAACACAGGTGTGCACGGATCCCGGTAACGTGGTGTCCTTAACTCTTTGGGGAAGACACCTAGAAGGGGAACAGCTGGGTCGTGTCAAATTGAAACGACAGGGAGACACCATCTTCATCCATAAGCTTGGCAAAAACTAGAAGGCTGGGTGAGCCATGCCGGCGACCCTCCGGGGACGTCGTCCCAGTGCCCCGGTGGGAGGTAAATCGTCACACTGCCTGGATGTGGTGGACACTGACATCACGTGCTCGAGGACCACGTGGCTCCATGTCTAGGCAGGTGCTGGAGCCTCAGCGGTGCTCTGAGATTGTAGTTGGCACCAGAAATACCGGGAACCTTGTTGAAACAGTGGGTCCCAAGGTTTCTGGTCCAGTCTGGGCTCAGGGCTGAGGATTTTCATTTCTACCGAATTCTTGGGGGTGCTGATGTGGCTGGTCTTGAACCACTGCTTTAGTTAAAAAAATTTTTTTTTTTTTGGTACGGGGAATCAAACCCAGGTCCTTGTGCTTTTGAGGCAGGTGGTGGAACCACTGAGCTAAATCCCCAGCCCGGTTAAATATTTGTGTATGTGACAGGGAAGACACACCCAGTGAGGACCGTCGTATCTTTCCTTCTAGCAAAAATTAGAAACAACCCCAGAATCTGTCCCCCAGTCGGGGAGGAGATGGACCTAGGCTAACACATTGTAGGCGGTGGAACCACTGAGCTAAATCCCCAGCCCGGTTAAATATTTGTGTACCTGACAGGGAAGAAGACACACCCAGTGAGGACCATCATATCTTTCCTTCTAGCAAAAGTTAGAAACAACCCCAGAATCTGTCCCCCAGTCGGGGAGGAGATGGACCTAGGCTAACACATTGTACAATGGACTGTCAGACTGCAGTTAAGTGAATGAGAGGGGAAAATACACATATCTTAACAGCAGCTCTAGAAAGATGTAACTGTAGGGTGTCATAGCATGATGTCACGTGACTGGTAAATTTATAAATAGCTTAAAGCCTAGGGTGGTGGCTCATGCTTGTAATCCTAGCACTTGGGAGGCTGAGGCAGGAGGATCACAAGTTCAAGTCCTACATAGGCAATTTAGGAAGACACTATCTCGAATATAAAACTTTTTTAAAAAAGAAGAGAAAGGGTTGAAGATGCATCTCAGGGTGGAGGTTCTGGGTTCAATCCCCAGTATAAAACAAATAATTAAACAAAACTCTCCAAAACTTTAACAATCCAATTGCATATAATCAATATAATCTAAGCATTAACAACATGGACTATACATAGGCAATTTAGGAAGACACTATCTCGAATATAAAACTTTTTTAAAAAAGAAGAGAAAGGGTTGAAGATGCATCTCAGGGTGGAGGTTCTGGGTTCAATCCCCAGTATAAAACAAATAATTAAACAAAACTCTCCAAAACTTTAACAATCCAATTGCATATAATCAATATAATCTAAGCATTAACAACATGGACTAGACACTAATCAGGAAGAGAAAGGGTTGAAGATGTATCTCAGGGTGGAGGTTCTGGTCCAATCCCCAGTATAAAATAAATAATTAAACAAAACTCCCCAAAACTTTAACAATCCAATTGCATATAATCAATATAATCTAAGCATTAACAACATGGACTAGACACTAATCCAGGTATAAAGATAACATTGAGGTATTGATCTATCATCTGTTTTCTGCTTTAAGAGAATAAAATTCAGTAGGGAGTGGTGGTGCATGCCTATAATCCCAGCACTTGGGAGGCTGAGGTAGGAGGATCACCGTGAGTTTGAGACCAGCCTGGGCTACATAGTGAGTTCCAGGTCAGTCTCAACTACATAGTGAGACCCTGTCTCAAAAAAACAAACAAAAAAAAAGGACTAGACACTAATCCAGGTATAAAGATAACATTGAGGTATTGATCTATCATCTGTTTTCTGCTTTAAGAGAATAAAATTCAGTAGGGAGTGGTGGTGCATGCCTATAATCCCAGCACTCGGGAGGCTGAGGTAGGAGGATCGTTGTGAGTCTGAGACCAGCCTGGGCTACATAGTGAATTCCAGGTCAGTCTCAACTACATAGTGAGATCCTGTCTCAAAAAACCAGAAAAAAAAAAAAAAACACTGGCTTTAAAAAAATAAAATTGAAGTATGATCTTTCTTCACTTTAGGGGGCAGTGACATGCTTTGGTTATACCATCCTTCATGCTTTTCTAGATTCTTTAAATGAATTTTTTTTAAAAAAACCAGTAATACATGTTCATTGTAGAAAATTTTAAAATGCCAAATATATAAAGACAGAAATGTAAACCAGCCACAAATCTGTTGTAAACACATTAGCATTCTTTACACACAAGTAAATTAAATGCTACAGGTACTATTTACCTCTTGTAGCCTGCTTTTGCAGCTTAATACAATGTCATCTCTTCTATTCATTACGTTGTTTCAGTATCATCCTTTTGCTTGGCTACATAGTAAGATTGGTCTTTCCGGTTTCCACTTTCTTACTGCCGGAAGTAGCAAGGAAGTGAGCAACTTCACCAGCTTTGTCTAGGTTAATTCCTTCTCTCCCTGCAGCAGCAAAGTCCTTGAGTTTTGGGTCACAAACCGTGTGGCACCCCATGAGGTGGTTAGGCTTGTGAGTGCAATAGGCCTGTGTGGGACGGCGCCTGGGGCCCCGCGAAGCTCTGGACCCCAGGAAGCCCGAGTAGTAAGCCGATGGAGTGCACCTGCAGGCCACCTGCTCCTTCCTCCATTCATGCCGGCCTGACAGGGTTTCAGGACCTGTGTGTCCCTGGGCATGGGCATGGGACGGCCAGGGTGAGGAGGCTGGGCTTGGACGAGAGACACAGTCTGATGTGAGCAGGTCACCTTAAGGGGCGGGGCCTCAGGAGGTCAGTTGAGGCAAGACCTTCAAGGGGACACGGGGACTCCAGCCCCCCGCGGTCTGGTTCCCGGCATCCATGAGATGAGCAGACTTCTGCCCTCCACCCCTGGCGCTGAG